CTCTCTATCATCACCACCGTCTCTATCATCTCACAATCTCCTTTATCACTTTCATTCTCTATCTCTATTCACTGTTATCACTCTTTTCATCTCTTTCACTCTCTACCCTCTCATTATCATCATCATTATCATCTCTACTTCTTCTACTACTCTCTTTCACTCTGTATCATCTCTATTATCATTATCAGATTAATCAGAGCTGTACAGACTGCAGAGTCAGCTATTCAATCTCATTCATGAATTCAAAGAGATGTATATGATATCATATAAGATTTTATTACAGAGTATTTAGCAGTATATACTATAAACACAGAGATCAAAATGTGATAGAGATAGTAAGAGAGAAGTAGAGATAGTAAAAGTGATAGAAGAGACTGTAGAGTAGTAGAGATAATAATGATGATAGAGAGACTAGAGAGTGAAAAAGGTGATAGAGAGAGGTGATAGAGGTGATAGAAATGAAAGAGGTGATAGAGATGATAAGAGAGAGATAGAATGATAAGATGAGAGTAGAGATAGAGAGTGAAAGTGATAGAGAGTGCTGTGAGGCAGTAGAGACAGTGATGATGATAGAGGTGATAGAGGTGATAGAGGTGATAGAGAGTGATAAGAGGTGGTAAGAGAAGATCAGAGTGAAAGAAGTGTAGAGGTAGTAGAGGTGATAGAGATGATAAGAGAGTGAGTGATAAGATGAGAGTAGAATAGAGATATGAAGTGAAAGTAATAGAGAGAGCTGTGAGGTGATAGAGACAGTGATGATAAAGATGATAGAGGTGATAGAAGTGATAGAGGTGATAGAAGTGGTAGGGGTGGTAGAGGTGGTATGAGTGGTAAGAGTGAGTGATAAGATGAAGGTAGGGGTATGAAGTGAAAGTAATAGAGGGTGCTACGGGGCGTTAGAGGCGGTGGTGATGATAGGGGGTAGATAGAGTGGTGCAATTGGCAGGCGCCACTACATATCAATGGATTTTTGATGGGGTGCACGTGATGTCACGTGACGTCACGTTACAGCGTTTTTTGCACGGAAAAGTTGGTTTTTCTTTAATATATAGAGAGATAAGTATCAACATTTTTTCAACATTGATATTTATAATATTAATATATTTTTAATAATATTATCTGATAATGTAATTTGATAATACTCTCTTTCATAATATTAATATATTTCAAGAAATATGATAGAGATTAATCAAGATTGTTTATTTACTTTTATATATTAATGATATTCAATCTGAGTTAGTATTAAAATTATAACTAAGCTAAGAAAGAGAATTATTTTCTCTTATATTAATTCTTCTTACATACATCAGTGATTAGTTATTAAAAATAAATTATTATCTTTCTTAAATTATTATTAATCTTCTGAATTCACTTCTTTCACTTCTTTTACTTCTATTGAAGATTCATAAACTCTTCAAGAAATCACTGTGAATTATAAAGTCTATATTATTTACAATTCAATACAGAATACTCTCTTTCAATTATGATAAATAATTACTTTATTCTTCACATCTAATTCTAGATTATGAAATTTATGAAAAATATAACACAAACAATGAGATAAACTATGAAATAATTATTAATAGATTGTATTATAGATTACTGAAGAGTTATCTCTCTACTGCAATTACTGTAACTTCATTCAGAAATATTTATTATAAACTGATTATAACTCTGAAGAAATTTTCTGACATCTGAAGTTATCAGAATGCAGATAATAAAAGAAAAATAATCAGAAAATTACTACTGAGCTGATAAGTTACTCTATCAGATAATGATTTTTAATAATGCTAACTTTCTAATTTGAAGAAAATTATGTGAAAATGACTATATATTAGTACTCTGATTTTATAACTCTTATCTGATAACTTTTATAAATAATTACTTTATATATGTATATCTCTGAATCTTTCTCTTCAATTAATTGAAAACTCTGAATTCTGAACACTTTTTTAAATAGTTAATTCAAATCTACACATTTCACATTAATTCTGTCTTCAGTTCAATCTTAAGATACACTATAAAGTTAATATACAATATCTAGAATCAGAGTTGAAGAATCATTGAAGAGTGTCTCTTACAGTGAATGTATAAACTAGTATAAATAATCTTACATTTATAAGAGTTATATGTTATTACATTGATGAGAACTGAACTTATTAAGAGATATTAATTGAATTTAAATCATTGATCAGTAGTTATACTGAGAATTATATAGCAGAGATATTAATGACTGTGATTAAAAATGACTATTGAGATATTAGTCTCAGTCTTCTTATAATTATAACTGATAATGCTGTGAATAACTATACTATAATGAACAGCTTGAAGTAAAAATTGACTTTGCATTTCTGAAATGATAAATAAGGTCATATTCTCTGCATTATTCATGTGATTCAACTTGTGATGTAAACACTGATAAAGAATCTTAACATTGAGATGAAGAATAATGAGATGACTGATTCTTAAGATAAGAATAAGATGAAAGTGATTACTCAAGTAACTTTTACATTTACTTTGTAAAAGATAATATTTTTTAACAACACTTTTTAATATTGCTTTTTGATAATACTTTTTAATAATACTACTGTTAATTTTGAATAGATTGACAAATAATTTAAATATCATAGATTTGAAACATTGTTAATGTGATTTATATCTCTTCTAAACAATAATAATGATTTCATAATATTTAATAAATAAATAAATCAGTCACATCACTGAATATAATACAGAATATTAGAATATAGTGAAGTTTAATATATGAGATGACTATTCAGACTCTTTAATTGTGTCAGATAATTGATCATTGAGTGTAACACTCTGATCAGAAAAAGATTCAGATATTAAAACTTTCTAATATGAAGTAAACTTAGTTAAAATATGTGATTGATTTACTATTTCAGTTTTATAAGATAATAAAGATAGTCTTAATCACTTGTACATCAATACTGCAGTCAGTTTGATGAGTGTATAACAGTTTATTTACTCATCTTAAGAAGCAGTTGAATCACTTAAAAAGAAATTCAGTCTGAGATGATACTATAGTGTAGACTATTATTACTGTAAGAAATAAACTAGTATATTACTACAGCAAAACTGAACAATCTTTTACAGAGTACTATATTATAGTAGCTCTACTAGATTTCTTCTGTTGAGTTAATATCTACACTTCTTAAGATTGAATAGAGAAAAAATGAGACTTATATATTAAATTGATCTGAAACTACTATAATACTAACTATCAGAGATTTGAATAAGTAGATATTAGAGATGTGAAGACAGTAAAATATAATTCTCTAGTAAGTAATAATCTTTGATAACTCTTTATATTATATAGAACTATAATACTAACTTTGACAAAACCAACCGCTCCACCACGAACTCGCTCGATTTTTCGAATAAGAACCCGCCGATAGATCCATTGAAAAGCCCTCGATCATACGAGCATTTTGACCCCATCGCCGACCGCATACCCCGTGTGGTGGTGGAGTTATCCAGCCAAACGTGAACCGGACGTTGTTCGAAGCTCCTGTGTGGGATTATCCCCCGTTCTCCCCTACCACACCACAACCCCGGGCCAGAGTGCCATACAAATTGTAAGGTGAAGTGACCTAGCCATATGCACCAATCTTCTCGATTTTGGAAGACCCCCGACCTGTAGTTGTGGAGATATCCGAGGAGCGACCTCCGCGAAAACCCTGTCCATCTTTGATGTTCCAAAACACCAACGCCAAGTCTCACCCTTGTACCGCCCTTCCCAATCTGGCCCATCCCCGGCAGAAAAATACAAAAAGATACCTCAGCGATAATATCAAGCACATAATCAACGGACTCTTCTGAAGTGCAACCTCCACGGTCCGCCGCCAGTGTATCTAGACTTCAACACCAAGTCTCACCCCTGTACTACCCCTCTCAATCTGGCCCATCCCCAGCAGAATGATACAAAAAGATACCTTGGCAACAGTATTCAATACATAATCAGTGGACAATGAGTCAACAGCACACCAACAACTATAAAATCAGTATACTCCAAGGCCTGACTGAGCCTTTGATCCCTGCACAGTGAGATATATTAAATCTAGTTTTAATATCTCAATATTCAATAGATTCTGCAAGAGATTGAGAACAGCAACACTAGGTTTCTATTGAATTTAAGAATTAACTCTATATTAATATAATCATTGACAAAGTCTTCTATTTTGAGATATAAATAATCAGTTTCTCTACATCCCACTGGCAATATTTATATTATCATATAGAAACAGACTTATATTCTCTATAATATCAAGACTCTGAAGAGAGAAAGTCTTGGTAGAGAGTATACAGTAGTGCATATCTTAGCAGTTTCTAACTCATTCTTCTGCAGCAGTTAATGCAAAAAAAAAAAAAAGATCTTAGAAATAGTTTTTTACTTCTCTTGAAAAAGTAAGATGTTTTTCTCTGGATTTTACACAATATTCTTACAAAGAATTAAAAACAGAGTTGTTTTCTGTCATAATTTCATATTCTTTTAAGTAAGAATTACTATTTCAGTGACTGAAGAGCTTTCATTAATACTTAATTCTTTTTTACACTCTTTATTAACTGATTTGAGTTGCACACTTGTTGTGTGAGAAGAATTAGATGATTTAGAATAAAATTGAATAGTTTTAATCAATTTCTCTGCAAAAAATTGATTTATTTTTTGTCAGTTTTTCTCTCAAAAACTGTCATATTATCTGATTTATTATCAATTGATATCATACTTTTCCTCACTGTATCCCAAGAAAGAGATTGGAAAGATTTTATTGATTTATCTTAAAAATCAATTTTAGTTTATTAGATTCTCTTCAAAAATCTAACCTAGTTACTGAACTAGTGTGAAAAAAATCAGGTGTTTTATACACAAAAGTCTTTTATTCTTCTTTTGAAACAGTCTGACCAACTTTTCAATTGAAAACAGACTTAGAAATATCTCAATTGAAACAGTCTGACCAACTTTTCATTAAGTGAAAACAATGAGTTCAAAAATATGCTCAGTTGATGTGGAAAAAGATTCTTTCTCAAATGCTATTTCTGAGATTGAAATTCTGAAGAGAAGAAAGAAAGAAGAAATAAAGAAACAACAAGTTCTTGAAATACAGGAACTTGAAAAAGCAAGCAAGATTCTTGAAAAGCAGTGTCTGAGTGAGATGAATGAAGAAGTTCTGTTAATTCTTCATGCTCAGGCCAGACAACTACAGGAGGTGATCAAGTTCAAACTTGGAATCTCAAACACAGTTCAAAAAACCTTGAAAATTCCTAGTATAATCACTGACTCTTTATCTTACTCTTCTTCTTTCTTTCTTTCTACTTCTTCTTCTTCTTTGAATCAGAAGAAAATATATGCTCAAGCAGCTGAATCTGCTGTCTCTAAACCTGCTGTCTCAAAACCTGCTCAAAATCCTGAGAAAACTGAGAAGAATACTGCTCATGCCTCTATTCATAGAAAAGTGGAAAAGAAAATGCAAAAAGAGAAAAACTTTCAAATCTCTAGAAATAGAAGACTCATTCTCAAAGTCTCAAACCAGGATATTCTGCAAAGAAACAAGCTAAACTCAAATCTCATTTTCAGAATCAGAAATGAAATTAATCAGCAGTTCTTTTCTCAGTTGATGACTGATATTGAAGTTCAAAAACCAGTTATAGCTTCAATTGAGCCATCATTCTTTGAAAACTCTATTATTCTGACTACAATGCCTGAATTCAGTGCTGAATTCCTTATTCAGAATGAGAATCTCTGGAAGTCAGCAGTAGAATCATTGCTAAACACAACAATTCTATCTGAAAGAGATGAAAAGTGAGATAAATTCATTCTTTATGATATTCCAGTTGAAATTTTTGACTGTAAAGAAGAAATGCTACTTCTCAAAAATAAATTGAAAGAATACAACTCCATTCAACTGAGAAAGAAGCCTGTATGACTAAATTCAATTGAGTTCAGACAAAGCAGGAGAAATGTCTCTGTTCTAGTATATACAAAAACACTTGAACAGTCAAAGATCTCTGAAGTAAGAGTAGCAGGTTTGAAAATGAGAGTTCATGAATACAAAGACTCAAGAATGAATCTCAAAGCTCAAACACAGTGTTCAAACTGTCAAAGATATAGACACTTTGCAATCTCATGTTTTAGAGACTCAAAATGTGCATTCTGTGCCAGAGATCATAAAACTAGTGAGCATAAATGTGAAACATGCTCAAAAAGAGGTGAAATTTGTCAATATACTCTGCTTAAGTGCTCTAATTGCAAAGAAAAACATGCATCTAGCTCTAAAGAATGTATATTTGCTCCTAGAACTCAAAAGAACTGAAGAAAAGATGAAGCTCAAAGTCAATCTAGAACTGAAGAGAAGAGTCAAGTCAGTAAACTCACAACTGCAAGCTCAAAAAGAAGAAACTCTCAATTATCTAAGTCTTCAAACTCCAATTCTCCAGCAAAATGTAAACAGAATTTGAATCCTCAAACTTCTGTTAAGATTAGAGAATTGAGAAATGACTCTGATGATAAACTAGATATAATGCAAGCAGTTGAGATTCCTACTTTTCAGAACAGTTATAATCTACTATCTGATGATAGTGATTAGATTCTTCTCTACTCTCTTTTAGTATAAATATACAACAAAAACAACAAAAAAAGTTTAAAAACTCTTCAAAAATCACATTTATTCAAAATAATGTGGATAGAAACTCAAATTGCATTTATTCTTGTCTTCAAATTACATTTGAATAAAAAGTTGATTTTGTACTGCTTCAGGAGCCGAATTTTGATACTGAGCAAAAATATGTCATTTCTCATTCAAGCTACTACTGCTTTTTATCTCAAAAGTCTGAGATAAAGTCAAGAGTAGTGATCTATGAAAGAAAGAGATCAAGATATCAATTTAATCTAAGATTTGATATCATGTCTGACCCTGATATTCTGGTGGGTGATATTATAGATAAAGAAAATGAGTTTGATACTATACAGCTCATAAATATCTATAATGAAAAGTCATTGAAGGAAAATAACAATATCTGAACAATTGATAGAGGATTTCTGAACATAACTTCATCAAGAAACTCTATAATTGCAGGAGATTTCAATGCACATCATCCCTGATGAAATTCAGAATGCAAGAGAGCAGTGAGAGCTGATAATCTGATTGAATGAACCTTTGAGCATTCAATAGATTTGGTTAATAAGTCTGATCAACAAACATTCTTTAGAAAAGGCATGAAACAGAAGTCTATTATAGATCTAACATTCATGTCACAAAATCTAATAGAAAGAAGACTTGTAAACTGATTTATTGATTCAAATGAGACATCAGAATCAGGTCATGAGATTATTCAATTTGATATTGAACTGAGTGAAAAACAAATGAGTGAAAATCCTCTTCTCTCTAATCAGTATAACTTTGAAAAAGCTGATTGAAAAGCAGTTAAAGAAAGCATAAAACTGTTAAAATCTGAAAGACAGAATGAGCTATATTGGAATTCTGGTCAAGATATCTCAAATGAAATGCTTGAGAATAGAGTGAAGCTTATTACATCTATCATTCTAACAAGTGTTAGAGATAATATTTTAAAAAGAAAATCTTCTGAGTATTCAAAACCTTGATGAAATGAGAATATCTCATCTAAAAGAAAAGAATTAGCTACTGCTAGAAGAGATTGAAAGAATGATGTAATATCTGATAAAGAGTTCAAAACTGTCAGAAATGAATATTTTTCAGATATTAAAAGAGCTAAAACAGACTGCTGGAATAAATTTCTTGAAGAAGCACAAGAGAAGGAAGTTTTTAAAGCTTTTAACTATACTAAAACAAGAAGTGTAGCAAAACTTCTAGCTCTAGAATATGAGTTTCAGAATGAATTATATACAGCAAACTCTTTTGAGAAAAAATGTCAAGCTTTCATGAGAATTCTCTTTCAGAACTCACCAGATTCAGATTCAGATTCAGAGGAAGAGAATATATCACTTCTCAACTATATTGATGAAAATGACTGGAAATGATCTGATCTTACACAAGATGAATTAGAGTCAGCTATCTTCTCAAGTTCTGTTAAAACTGCTGCAGGTCCTGATTCAATTAATCACTTGATTATTCAAAATACATATTCCTACTTAAAGAATGAATATTTTGAGCTCTTTTTCAATCTCTTGAAAAATGAATATCATTCTGAATGCTGAAGAGAAGCCACTGAAGTGATTCTTACAAAACCTAATAGAAAAACTTCAATTCCTAAGTCATATAGAGTAATATCTCTATTGAACTGTTTAGGAAAGGTTTTAGAAAAGATAATAGCTACTCAACTATCTTTTATAAGCTCTATAGATGATTCTCTTTTATTCAGTGAATAAATGAGAGGTAGAAAACAGTGTTCTACTATTGACACTGTTCTCTCAGTTGTTCATGATATTCAAATAGCAAAGCATGAGGGTCTGGTCTCAACTGCAGTTTTTATTGATATAAAAGAAGTGTTTGATCATGTTTCAAAGTCAAAGTTAATTCAGACATTGAAGATATTAAAACTGCCACTTTCCCTAATAAAATGAGTTAACTGTTTTATGTCTAAAAGAATTATACAACTCTTCTTTGATGGAATGAAACAAGACAAGACTGAGATAAAAATAGGAGTACTACAGAGGTCTTCAATCTCACTCATTTTATTTGCAATATACACTGCATATCTATTCAAAAATAGAAATATGAGAATAGTGTGATCTCTGAGTTATGTGGATGATATTGGTCTAGTCTACAGCTCAAAAACTATCAAAGAGAATTTGAAAGTAATTGAAGAAGCTGCAAAGGAAATCTTTGTTAGAGCAGATATCAATCAAATTCAATTTGATATGGATAAAACTGAGTTAATTCATTTCTTTTCTAGATTCAATGAGAAAGAACTATCTCTAACTCTTTTAAATAGAGAGATTAAACCCAGTGTAAATGTCAAATGATTAGGAGTATGATTAAACTTCAAGTTGAATTTTAAATATCACATTCAACAAAGAACTGTCAAGGCAGAAAGACTATTGAACAACATAATCAGACTATCAAATACAGAGAGAGGTCTATTCTTCCAGGCTATGAGACAGTTATATATAGCCTGTATTACATCAGTAGCTGATTATGAAGTTCAAGTTTGATGGAATAATCAAGAGAATTTCACTGAACTCTTTCAAAGTCTGCAAAACAGAGCCTTGAGAAGAATTCTGAGAGCATTTAAATTATCTCCTATTAAAGCAATGGAAATTGAAGCTTCAATTCCTCCTTCTACTATTAGATTTGAAAAGGCCTGTATGAACTATGCTCTGAGAGTTGTAAAGATGAGCTCAAATCATATAATCAGAGAAAGAGTCTCTTCTTCATTTTTATCAATTAACTCTGGAAATGAACTGAATTAGAATAGATTTCTTGATTGAAATAAAAATAATTCTTCAAAGAAAATGCCTTCTCAACTGTACAGACTATGCTCTCTGATTAAAAATCAATTTTCTTCTTTAAATGTTGAAAAAGTTGATCATGAGAAGTTATCTCTCTGGAGAAAAAAGCTTGAATCTCTTATAGACTTACAAATAAGTGAACTATCAAAAGAGAAAGAATATGAACAGCATTTGAAGAGAATTTCTACAATCAATATAAAAGACTCTATTCTGATTTATTCAGATGACTCAAAAAATGAGAACTTGAATAGATTGAGCGCAGGCATTGCTTATACTGAAGATAATATTAATTTCATCTCAGATTTCTGAAATCTAGGCTCTGAATGTGAAGTCTTTGATGCTGAACTATTTGCAATAGTGAAAGCTTCAAACTC